CCTAGGCAATAGCCTTGGGCCTCATGGTAGGACATGCCTCAAAAATGCAAAAGCCCAAAAATAATCATTATATTTTTGGATTTTTCTTACATTAAATAACTTCTTGAAAACGTATTAGTGCAAATGAAGCGGAAAGTTGTCCCCCTACCCAAAAATGTCCGTTAATTTTTGTTCTGATTACTGTTTTTGAATTTTATTTTATTTTTAACTTTTATATCTAAAATATTTTGCACAAAACATGGTAGTCACCGCCCCATACATCACTAATTTTCAGAAGCCATTTATATTCTATTTCTTGAACACAAGAATTGATTTTCGAATGAATCAGATGGTGAGTACAATAAGCATAATGTTCCTCATCATGAGAAACCGTTTGATTTGACCATGGTTGATGATCGTATGCTTGTATAAAAATTATATTCAGGGCCTCGTAATAATTTATAGTCTAGGGGATCTTGGAATTTTTACGATCAGCCTAGAGGTGTCAATCCGGGTCGTCCGGGCCGGATCAGCCCGCCAACATATGAGCCCGTAACAGTCCGCGTGAAAAAAAGCCTGCTGACTACGAGTTCCGGACTGCTTCCGGGTCGGCCCACAAATTTTGGACTACAACCCAGGCTCGCCTGCTGACCCATCCGGATCGAGCCCGTGCGGATCACGGGTCGCGGTCTATTCCGATTTGGCCCGTATTATTGTATAAATAAAATTATAAAAATATAGAATTTTTCATATTTATAGCAAAAAATATTTTTTTTGTTAAATGTAAACTAAGAATTGAACAAAATGATAAATTCATATTTATACCAAAAAATGTTTACTAGAAATATTTATATAGAATTCAAATTTAATGTTACATAAAGGATGTATAACTTTGTAAAGGTAAATTTAACTCAAACAAATAACAATTAAATGTATTTCTAATTACTATTATCAAATATTTATATCATAAGTACATCCCAACTAAGTTGGCACCTACTTTTATTGTAATTTATAGTTTAAGTACATCTCAACTAGGTTGACTATTTTCCCCCCTTTTTTTTTCAAATTAAAAAAAAAAAAAAAAATTCACGGGTCAGCGGGTTAATCGCGGTCCGTGAAAGTGCAACCTGCGAAGCCCGCGGGTCACACCTTCTTGACCCGTGAACCGCTCGCTCAAGTCATGGGTCGGCCCGCGATCCCGGGTCTATCCGAGCAGATTTTCACGGGTCTGGCCGGCCCATCCTTCTTGACACCTCTAGGTTAGCCCTGTTTGACACACATATATTTATCTTTACTTGATGATGTACATCACAGCTCATGCTACTTTGGGCCAATATGATATAAGATTTTTCAAACGGTAAAGTTTTTGGATGATTCGTGGTTAAAAAGTAAAGAAAAATTATGAATTTATGTACAAAATTATTTTATTTAAAAAATATATGAATAAAAAGGAATTTTAAAATGTACCAAACAGGACATTTATTTCCCATAGGTAGCCCACAATATGGCAGCTTCTTTTACAGATGATTTTGTAAGTCGTAGTTGGTTGGATTGTATTCCGCATTTTCTTTCGCCTTTCATAGAGACGACTTGCACTAATGGAACAGTTTTGACATTTAAAAGAAAAGGGATAGTTAATGTAGCGACCGCGAACTTTTAAATTATATAAATTAATTTTCTCGAAAAACGTGTCGCTAAAACGTAACCCTAATTTCCTAGAGAAACGCGTTCGTCTAGCCGTTATAAAAACGAATTCAAATCTATTCGATTGAATCCAATCCCGAATAATAATTTTATTATCAATTTCGAATTATTTTATTTGTATCCAATTTTTATTAAATTCAAGCCCAATTGTTAAAATTCAACATTTATGGTCCAATCATAAGCCCGATTTAATTTTAATTCTTTTAGCCCAATTTATTTTAGTCCATTACAATTAAGTCCAATTATGTCGGCCCAAATTTTGATGTTTAGGCCCAATCCATTTAGGATTCCTTGCAACCCAATTGGCCCAAGTGGCACATAGGGATTTGTGCCCTAACATTTCCTATTTTATTCAGCATCACCTCATTCCCCCTCTCCTCCAAAAAATTCACGCAGCCAACAAAATCCATTTGGTAAGAAAAATTTGTCTACCTCTCCAACATTCTCTCTATTCCCAATGTAAGACACCATTGATGCTAGAAAATCCATTTCTAGCATCAACAGTGTAATCATCAAGGCAATGCAACTCACAACACCATTCACCATCAACAGCCAATCTCAATCCATTCCAGCAGAACACCCCAAAACCCAAGCTGCAGCCTCCATCTCCTCACCAACACTCAACACCGAGATGCAGCCCTTTCCTCAACACCACCAAACAGCACCTTACTGCCCTCCCCAAACCGAGAACATCAGACCACCAAGTTCACTGCAAAACCATCTCCTCACCAACACCTCACCACCTCCAACTCACCAAACCAACAATGCAGTCACTCCAACCCCATTCTTGAAACCGAGACCAACACTGCCAAACCACCAACCAGTCACTGCAAGCCCAACTTCACACGCTACCAACGTCCACCACATCCAAGCAGCAACACCCACCAAACCGTCACAAACGAACACCAAAACTCACCTCCAATCAAACCACCCAAAACCACCAATGGAAATCCCCAGGTCGAGCCAACCAAGACCTTAAACCACAACACCAAACCAACATCAATTCACAATACCTCAAAACAGCCTCAAACCAAGAACACCTACTCCACCAAAGCCGAACAAGTCACCCCAAGTCAAGCCACACCCGAGACCACAAAGCTCCACCATCGCACAACCGAAACCGTAAAACTCCAACATCGCCACAAAGATGAAAACAACGAAAAATCAAGAAATAAGAAGAAACCCATGAACTTACCGAATGAAATTCGAGCCCTCAAGCCACGGTTCTTCCTCATTTCGAGCCCAAAACACCCAAATAAACCCCCCCACCTACCTCTATGTTCGGCGCCACCACCGCCGGCCGGTGGTGGCGAGATCTCGAGGAAGGGGGCGAAGCCCCTTTCCCCCGTCGTCCTCTCTCTCTCTCTCTGGACGAGAGAGAGAGAAGTGTTTTATTTTTTTTATTTTGATTTTTAATTTTAGATTTTAATTTGATTTTGATTTTAGAAATTATAACCCTAAGCCCCAAAGTTTTAAAATGTTTATTTAAGTCTTTACAGTTTTCATTATTTTTAAATCAGCCCTAAGCTTTAAGTATTTTAAAGTTCAGTCCTCTAATTTTATTTTCAGTTTTAGATAATGTTTAATTTAGTCCCTAGTTTAAATAAGTTATTTATTTCAGCATTTAACTTTATTTCCAGCTTTATTTTATTTACAGTTTAGTCCTTAAACTTAAATAAGTTATTTAATTCAGTTTTTAAGTTTTATTTCAGCTTTACTATATTTACAATTGAGTCCCTAATGTATAGAAATTATTATTTCAGTCTTTAAGTTTTATTTTCAGCTTTATTATATTTACAGATTAGTCCTTAAACTATTAAAAATTATTATTTTAGTTTTTAGCTTTTATTTTCAACTTTAATATACTTACAACTTAGTCCTTAAACTATTAAAAGTTATTATTTCAGTTTTTAACTTTTGTTTTCAGTTTTATTATAATTACAGTTTAGTCCCTAAACTTATGAAGGTTATTATTTTAGCCCTTAAAGTTTTATTTTCAGATTTAATAAATTTCCAATTTAGCCCCTAAACTTTACTTTATCATTTTAAGTCATTTATTTCAAATCCAATAATTTTCAATTAAGCCCTTGACCTTAATTTCAACACTTTAAAACTTTAAAATTTCGAAATACTGATTCAAACTTATTTTCTATTGGCTAGACGAAACGTACGAACAATTAGGAGATTGAAGTTACTTCTCGCACCATTTTCACGAAACTCGAGATTTTGAGGTAGACTCGCCACCATTAATTAGTTTAAATTATAATTGCATGCTTTATGTGAATTACGTGATTTATATGCTTTATGCATAGGATGAGAATGTGTCATATGCGATATATGATATTGTTATGCTTGCCATAACTTATATGCTTAATTGCATGAGAAAGAAAGAAAGAAAGAATCTCTTATGAGATAAGAAAGAATGTTATGCATAACTTATGTGCTTCATCCGCACAAGAAAGAAAGACTACCCACAACCCATGTTTTTAAAGAGCCTATGATTTCAAGAAAATGAACCAAAGATGATATCACATTGTATATTGCATGAGTGTGTTTCAATTATTCTGTAAATTAATTATCGGCGATGAGTCTACTGAGTATTTCTTCGAAATACTCATTCTGCTATTTTTAACAATAATTGCAGACTTCGGAGGCGAACGTGATTGATCCGGCAGTGGTGGCAATATAAAATTTGATTATCGAAATTATTTAGTTTTCGAATTTATGTATTGAAACATTGTTAACGTGTTTTTCGTTTCCGCTATTCCAAAACACGATATTTAAATTTTGAACAATTATCCAATATATTTTAATTGCCGACGTAGTTTTCAATTGCAAATGTGATTTTAAAAATTAGGTTATTTCCGCAAAATTGATTGACAAAATTAGGGCAAAAGACGACAACGTGGCAATCCGGGTTAACAGAACTCGGGGCGCTACAGTTAATTCATTAGTTAATTCATGCCTTCAAACATTGCAAATAATCTAAATGGAGAAGTTGCACCAAAGGCTGCCAGAAGATGGAGAGAATTTAGTAATACAATTTTAGAGTAAAGTTTTAAAAGTTTATACAGATCTTGAATCTTGTTGGACAAACAGTTCTGCAAATGAAAGAAGCTCAGTCCACCTTTCAGGTATATAAACTCTGTATAGCTATTTGTCTTGAAACTATACATGCAAACAAATGTGAATATATCAACAGCGCTAAAATATTTACTCCTTCGCTCTATAGAAAAATACTACCATATCAATTTGTTAACAGAGCATGATCCATGAGTCAATGCAAACTGTTCAGACGATTTGTAGTCGGTTTTTTCCTATAGCTTTTTCCTCTGAGGGATTGGATGATGCAACTCTCCAGAGTCGCCACTTGATGAGGATGGATTAAGCCCATACTCACTTGTCGGAAATTCTTGGCTTGACATCACCATCTTCCTGAACTTCATCATGTCAGCATTGTAGGCACAAGTGTCGTAAGTTTCTGTATTCCCAGTTGGATTATTATAGGGCGTTCCATGTGCTGTCTTACTAGCATCATTTAAGTCCTCTAAAGATGCATCTCCATCCAAAGCGCGTACAATCTATATAAAGAGTTCTCATGAATCAGACAATGTCATACACATATTTAAGCCTTTTGTTAAGAAGATACAAATTACAGTTACCTGACTCATTCTAGGACGCCTTCTTGCAGAATGGCGTATACAGGCAGCAGCACAGGCTACCATACGAGCCATCTCTTGGGGATCGTAGTTACCCTGAAGACGTGGATCCACAAGTTCACCGTAGTTTCCATCTTCCATGGATTTTGATAGAAGAGGCCTAGCCTATTTATTTCAAGAGAAATTGGATCAGAAAAGGTAGAAAATGAAAATAAGAAACATTCTTCAACCAAATATAACAGGGAACTTCAATTGCATAATTATTAGTGGTAGGTACATGAAAAACATAGATATTGGGATTGAGAACGAACCCAATCTACTAAGCTGTCTTCCATAATTTTACCCGTAGGATCTACAGGTCGCCTCCCGGTTATGAGTTCCAATAGCATCACTCCATATGAGAAAACATCAGATTTCTCTGTTAGCTTGCCACTTGATGCATACTCAGGAGCCAAATATCTGAATTTCATGGAGTCAAATTCCGAATTAGCACGTCTACCAATCAGGTTATTTCAGTTTAAAATCCAGCATATCCTTCCATAAGATGTAAATGTTGAACATCCTAGGATGAACATATCCTAGAAAACATTTAGGCAATTGCAAAACCTTTAAAACAACCTCAACATTTCCACTCTTCTTACTATTAATCGTCCTAATAGTTCTCCCTGACAATCAAGATAACAATAGACTACAAACATACATAACGAAAAGTCAATTACGTACCCAAAAGTTCCCATGACACGTGTGGAGACATGAGTATAATTATCGGAAGTGAGCTTAGCCAAACCAAAGTCTGCCACCTAGATAACACGTATAACATCAAGAAGTCTATCGTGGTAATGTAATAACTAGTCATCCTCTAGGGCCTATGCTGCTGGTACATCAACAACATTTAAATATTACCATAGCTTCAAAATTGTTGTCAAGGAGAATGTTTGCAGCTTTGATGTCGCGGTGGATAATTCGCGGGTGGCCTGCAATCTCATAGGAAAATACAAAGACATATCAACTAATGAACTTGCGTAAGTTTGTGGGGAGGAAGAGTTGAGAAATGCATACAGTCTTCATGCAGGTAACCAAGCCCCTTGGATGATCCCAGTGCAATTCTAAGCCTAGTTGCCCAATCCATAACTGGTTGACCTTTTCCTGCAACCACATATTAACCTTTAAAGCATTCATAAATCATGTATTATTGATTGCACCGGACATCATAGGAAAAGAAAAAAGAAGTTAAAATCTTATTTATTATTGGCAGTAACAAGAAACTAACCATGAAGGTGGAACTCCAAGGTCCCATTTGGAACAAATTCATATACTAACATTCTCTGTGCATCAGCAACAAAGTATCCAACGAGCGACACAAGGTGGCGATGATGGACACGACTAATGATCTCGACCTCAGCCTGGAATTCCCTTTCTCCTTGTCCACTACCAGACTTGAGACTCTTAATCGCCACTTCTTTTCCATCAGGTAAGATACCTTTGTGTACAAATCCAAATCCACCTTGGCCTAACAAATTGGCCTGAGAAAATCCTCCTGTCGCGGCTTCTAGTTCTTCATAAGTGAATTGGCTCTTGGTAAAGCCATTAATACCACCCACATTTGGAGATGGAGGTTGCCTAGGAGTCTGATTCTGCCCTGAGAAACAGGAGTTAAATTCACTGCTGCTATTTGCCTGTACTGGATAAGTTGGTGGTGCAGCTGCCCAGCCACCAGCGTGTCCCATAGGCGTTCCCATAGAACCCAATGGTGGAGGAATCTTAACAATTTGTTCCATAGGCTGGGGACTATTCCACTGTGTGGAAGCTTGGAAGTACATCTCTGCACCTGACAGCCAAGAAAATAGTGCACATAACTAGAATTACTCATTTAGAAAAATTGTGTAAAATTGACAAATTAAAGTTATTGTCTTATTGACTAAACACACCTATTGGCCCATGTCCAGGGCTCATGTAATACGACTGTTTCTTACGTCTCCTCGACCTCAACAATACTAGGCAAGTAATGAGTATGGCAAGAATTATGACTCCCCCAAAAACAATTCCAGCAATGATTACTACATTTGTGGAATCAGATGGTGGTGGTGAATGACCGGAACCTCCTGGGGAACCTAATGGCTCGCTTGTTGGTGATGAATGCGAAGGAGGCGGTTGGGTTAAATGGCCTGATGGAGGTGAGTGTGAAACTGGCGTTGGAGGGGGTGGAGAGAAAATAGGTGCAGGAGGAGAACCGGGGCGGGTAGGGGTAGGATTGGGAGTTGGGGGAGGTGGAGATAAAGGAGTAGTAGATGGGGGAGGAGGTGATTCCTTCGGGGGTGGGGGATGGGGTGAAGGGGGTGGAGACTCTTTGGGAGGTGGGGTGGGGGCAGGGGGAGGAGAAGAAGTTGGCGGGGCAGGAGGTGGTGAAGCTGGAGGAGAAGGGGGAGGAGATGTTGGAGGGGCTGGCGGAGGAGAAGCAGGTGGAGGTGACTTTGGTGGAGCTGGTGGAGGCGATGTAGACGGAGATGAAGCCGGCGGTTTTGAATTTAATGATGCTTCTTCTTCTGGAGATTGTTGCAGAGAGTCTAGAGACGTTTCAATAGAATTCTGTGACGGAGCAGTCTGAGGAGTTGCCATTTGCCAAAAATGAAGTCCCCGGAAAAATATTCACTTGGGAAGCTCAAATTTCTCCCATAAAACTGCTCTTCACAACAATTCAGAGCCCCTAAACACAGATGGATTTATTGCCAACATTATTCAAAACAACAGGAACATCATCAATATTTTGCAAAAATTCATTCTAAACACAACATAGGATTAATGAAAATGCAATGAGAAAGCAAGATTTGCATGACAGAGAAATGTTGTTAGGCTAGGTAGGTACCTTTGAGAAGAAATTTGCTGGGGTTCCCAACCTCAAGATTAAGAGAGAGGGAGACAAGGCATTGCATTCTGATTTCTGCATGTTAGAAAAGGCTACCCTTTGTCTCCTACAAAGAAGGGTCTCTCTCCTTAATTTCTTTTTCCAAATCAATCTCTATTTTAGGCAAGAATCGGTTACATTTTTATTTTCTTTTTTTACACCAGATCCGTGTATTGGCCATTCTAATTTTGTTACTCACCATTAGTTTATTCGAGGGGTGATGCTTGATTCCATGTCCTTCAGATTCTTTCAATTTCGAGGGGAAAAAAGTTCACTTACTATTTCAAGAATATTGTCCGTTATTATATACATCCATTCTTCTTCTTATTATACCTGCCTTCCCCTCGTCCTCAAATATGAAAAAATTGTTAGGTTTATTAATTGTGGAAATTACGCAAAATCGTACTTTTCAAAATTCATATTCAAAAATCAGATATTTCATAATTAATTAAATATTAATTATACAATTTTCATCACAATCCTAATTAATTTCCCCCAAACCCTAGCAACCATTTTCAATATTCCTCCTCCTCCTCTTTTCTTCTCACCGTAATCTCTTCTCACTCTCTCTACCAATCCTCATCGGCGACGCCATCTTCGCCGATAGCCCACGCACCATTGCCGCGATACAGCGCCTCCACAGATGACGCAACCTCGCGAGATACCACCTCCACAGATGGCGCAGCCTTCTCCTCCCTCTTTGCCGATAGCCCAACCCGCCACGACATAGCACGTCCACAGATGGTGCAGCCTCGCGAGATACTAGAAGGGGCTATGCCACAGTTTGAGCTTTTATAATTTGAATTTTCACTATATTTTTACCATTTGCATTTTTGTACCAATTTGGTTATTCTCTATTAATGGATTGTGAAAGAGTTTGAATGACATAATAGTTGGATATGTTTAGTCGTGATGAGCGATAACTGTGCAGTTTGAATGATATATTTGAAATGCAAAGCTATCTCTTGTGCAATATGCTTGATGGTTATCAATTTATGTATATGGTTTTATCAATTTGTATTTATTGGGGTATTGAAGTGTTTTGTTTTTTATGCTTTTAGATTTAATATAGAATAAGATCGATCTTTTGCCAAGAAAGGAAGAACCATGTAATCCTTATGTTCAAAAAACAACAAATTTGAGATTACTCCAATTCCTACCATGCCTATTCCTCAAATTTCATCTCCTGAAGTTGAACGTCCTTCATCTTCCAATTTTAATTTGGAAACATTTAATTCTATTGATCGATACCTTGAAAATAGAAAGCAAATATGTGAACATCTATTTAATGAATGCGGTCAAATTATACGGGCCTATATATATATGCTGGACCTTATCAACCAAAACTTTTGGAGTATGAGAGCAAAGAATGTGGAAAGCAAGAATGTCTCTTTCAAGAGTATTGGTACCAATCAGTTTCCTTAGTTGGAGTATTCGCCTCCAACATATAAGGCACGTCGTTTTATTGCCTCCTTTTTCTCAATGATAGCCACCTAATATTTCATCATTGGTTACTATTGGATTTGATAGTTGGAAGAGAGTTAACACGGAAGTAAATGTACATTTCTTATTCATATTGGTACAACATCTTCATCGTATCATAATGGATGTAAAGGAAGAGCTAAAGATCTAACGAAACCAACTCAACATATTGACAAAATAATGCATTCTATGTCAAGTGAGAAAAAATAGAAAAAATGTTTGGTCCTAAAGACCACTATTGTAAGTTTTCAGTGGCTAGCACTTCAAGGATGTTCCTTTAGAGGCCATGGTGAATCTCCTTCTTCAGTGAGTCGTACGAATTTTCTTGGAATGGTGGTTGCATTTGGAAAATGAATACAAAAGTAGGAAAAGTTGTGTTAGGTAATGTTCCAAAAAATGCTACATACACGTTTACAGACATTCAAAAGAGACTTTTGAACATTATGGCTAATAGATTACGACAGAGAATTCGTGACAAAGTTGGGAATGCAAAGTTTAGTATTCTTGTTGATGAAGTACAGATGAATCTTCATGAGAACAAATGACCATTATCTTGAGGTTTTTGAGCAATAATGGAATTTTGACATAACTTTTCTTGCAGCCAAAAGTTCTAGTTACACTACCTCATTGAATCTTAAGAACCAAATTTCTGGTGTTCTTATTTGTTTCAACTTTCAAGTGCAAAACATGAGAGGCCAATGGTACGATGGTACTGATAATATGATTGGAAGGTGGTGATCAAGTGCAAAACATTAGAGGCTAAGTGTTACTGGTCATTCTCTAAATATAATATCGCAGTCCGATGTTGGTGGTGTATACAAAAACATGACAATGCTTGAATTTGTATTTATCTTGCATGTAATATGTAGAACATTAGCAATTATGGATTTGCTTTGTCAAGCCCTTCAGAAAAAAACTCAAGATATCTTAATTGCTATGAGATTTGTCCATACTAAAAAAAACAACCTTTCAAGCATTGAGAGAAGAAAACTAGGAAAAATTCCTCGAAGAGAATTTTTTTTTGCTCAAAAAATGATATACATATACTTGACTTTGATGATTTGTACATGGTTGGTCATTCTCGTGACTGTGAGCATCCTACCATTGAACATCATTAGTACTTTGATATTTTCAATACAGTCATAGATTTTCAGATAATGGAGTTAAATACAAGATTTAATGAGATATCATTAGAATTTCTCTCTCTCAATGCGACTTTGGATTCAAAAAATTCTTTTGAATCATTTAACGTGGATAATATTTGTAAGCTTGTAGAGAATTTTTATCCTAAAAATTTTACACAGCAAGATATTTATTGTTTGAAATTTGAGTTGCAACATTATTGGAATGATGTGATTTCTGAACCTCGATTTCAAGTACCAACATATTCTGATTTATGACGGGGAATTGATTGCAAGTAGAAGGTGCGAGAGTTACATCATTTTAATTAAATTGATTTGTCTAGTGTTGACACTACCTGTTTTAATGACGACTGTGGAGCAAGCATTTTCAGCAATGAAACATGTAAAGATTGAAATTCATAACAAAATGGATGGTGGTTTTCTTGTTGATTGTTTGACACTAAACATTGAACAAGAATTTAGTATGAATTTAGATCTAGATTCTATTATAGATGAGTTTTATTTTTTAAAACATCACCGGGTACAATGGTAATAAGTAATGTTATATTATAACTTTTCTTGTAAATATATGAATTTTATTAGTATATTAATTTTTAAAAAAAAAATTCCCCCGTAACGTTAATTCCTAGCTCCTCCCCAGATTCTTTCATTTTCAAAATGTAAAATCTAATATGAAATTATTTGTTCATTGATATTAAATGAGTTTTGTTAAATGATACATAATTATAGTTACTAATGATACGATAACAATACTAAGTGACAAGGATAAAAATCAAAGTGACAAGAACTCTAATCTACATTTTATAATTTGAATTACAAGTCTGAAATAAATATGACAATATTCAAAAAGATTGCAACTGTTGTCGTTGTTGAGGTGATCGATCCTTACTACCATGTGATGAGGTTTGATAAGGTGGAGATAAGCTTTGGGTGTTGCCATCTTCAATCTTCTTATTTTCAAAGTTCATCCTTAATGGGTCCTACTAAAATGGAGCTCTTGTTGGATATTCCGATCTTAGATAAATGTGAGTAAATTTGGTTATCGACATGGGCTTAGTAAGTTGCCAGCTAATCATTGGAAAAATGAGCTTATTGAAACATGATTGAAATAAAGTGATAATTAATGGCAATGTATTTAGAGCATGTTTAAACCCTATTTTTTTCTTAAGAATGCATTTTGGAATAGTAGATTGATGAAAAATGTGTAGTTGAAAAAAAAATTGAGTTTGCGTGCAATATTATTTTATTGAAAAATATATTGTTAAAAAAAGAGAGAAAATTTGTATTTTGGAAATAATTGGGATCAAACAAGGGCTTATTTGAAAGCAATCTAATGTATCTTCAAAATAACGATGCATGAATTGGAACAATTTGTTTACAACGAAGAAGGTGTCAAGACGTTTAAGGTATTTTATTGGAAGGCAATAAGTGGTATATGAAGACATCGGTTCCACAAGAGCCATCGTTTAGACTAAGGGATTGAAAACTTGACATGGGATGGTACAAGGTTTAGCTCGTATCATATTCCTACAAGGTCTTGTATGTATTGTGGTGAATGTTGACAATAGAAATCAGATCAATAAAATTTCTCTAACCTAACCAATATTATCGCCTTTTAAACTCACTAATTTTGATGCTCAAATTGGAAAAAAGATGAGAAATGAGTATTTGGAAGGGATATATTTGAATTTGCATGCCTTTTCTGCTTTTAGATGGTAGTATTTATAGATTTCTCTTAAGGCTTTGGAGATAATTCGATCATTTAGGAATAATGATTAATGGAGGCCTCTCATAAGCTAGCTTGTAACTGATTCTATAATAGTATCACATTTTATTGCTCACGTGTACCTCTATAATGGTTCCCAACCTGAATGGGGGAATGGCTTGCCCTTTCGCCTCATGGCTCACTAAGCATGAGCTCGTGGAATTGATTCTTTGATTCAACAATTACTAGTNCACATTTCAAGGTTAATGGCCAGTGCGCATCTAATGCATGTAAGTTATGTTGACCTATGGTTGGCATCTCATTTTGATTATCACAAACAAATTGCGTTCATTCTTACAAATTGATTTCGAGTGTCTATAGTGACTATTGCAAATCAATAAAATTGAAGGCATGAAGTTCGAGGCAAAATAACTTGCATGCAACGATCAATATGGAAACAAAATTGATCAAACGAGGCTATGAAGATTGATATTAAAAAACTAGCAAGAAAATGCCTCAACAAGAATCAAGATAAAAATCGAAGCACAGTCAAGCATGTACATCAAGACGTTCAAAACGAAGTGCTTAGACTATTTACACTCATATGTAAAGGTAAAATACTTTAGTACATGGCAATGAACAGTGACAAGCTCAAAATCAATTTTACGCACGAAAAATCGTGATACAAAAATGTTTACATAAAGATTATTTTTCAAAAAGTAAAAATCTAAAACTTATATTTGAAAATATCACTTACCTTGAAAAATATTTTCAAAACGTCGCTCAAGTACTTACATTTGATAAAAACTAAAACGAGGACGTTCCGGCATAAAACTGTCGTACCGGACGTCCGGTATGGTGGATCTAGGGCCAACGGTCAAAAATTCAACTGTTCTGATTTTCTGACAAAACGGCTAGTTGACCGTCCGGTATGTGGCGGACGTCCGGTAAACTGCGTCCGGTTTGGGAGAGTTTTCGATGGTTTCTCACCTATAAATACCAACCCACTTTGCATTCAATAGCAACCATCCTAAGAGCAATAAGTGAGCATTTATTGAGATAAATCCTTGGTCTTTACTATTTACTCATCCTTATAAATTGATTTACATTTGAAAAGCATTTGATTATTCTAAACTTAGAAGATCAATTTCATCAAAGTTTTTCATATCCAACACTTGAGATATATTCATTGCTATCTAATAAAGTGTTTGTCCTCTTCTCTTCTTGTTCTCAACTTTGAATCTATTATTCATTAAGAAGAGAAGATTTCACTTGTAAAACTCTTTTGAATCGAGGGTCATATTGATGTCACGTAAAGCTCAATAATTTAGGTCATGTTGAGGTCCCGTAAATATCAACATTGTAAAAGGATCGGTGTTCCTTGTTTGAAAATCACCGA